TTGTTAGGCTACTGCTTTTATAATATTGCAAATGTACATGTACATCTTAAAAGAAACTTGCAACACGCGCCAAATCGTTTAATTTTAGAAAATCAGTTACATTTATTATAGTTTTCAATGGTTAATATTTTTCATAAAAATCTCATAGCATTTGTCTTGTAATAATTTTTTTAAACTAAACCTGAAAATTGATTTTTTATTTTTCATAACATTTTATATAACTATACATTTTTATATTGCTATTTTTATATAACATGTAAATTCGATGTTTTAGTATATGGCTTTGCTGTAATGAAAATATTTAAGTTTTTTAAATTTAACCTTTATTTATTATATATATATATATATATATATATATATATATGTGTGTGTGTGTGTGTCTGTGTGTGTGTAATAAATGTGACAATTCACATTTATTTCTTTTTATTCATCAAATCCAACGTCAACTTGACTTTTATAAGAACAAACTTCATATTACCAACTTTCAATGAAACAGTTATTTCAACTATCAGTTTTTTAACGTTGCCAGCGTTGAATCGTTAAAAATAACTATAGTTGAAAAATAACTAGTTATTTAACTAGTTGACAAAACCCCGATAACCGTTTCGTTTGTAACCCACCTCTAGAGCATAGTAAAAAAAATTCGCAGGGCACACGCTTTTTTCCTCTCTATTTACTGCCATAATTTTGTTGATCGTAGGTTGAATAGAGCACATGTGAACAGGATTTGATAAATTAATTCACTTCAAATATGAACTTAAGTAATAATGTATTATATTGGATTATTAGTGAGAGAAATGTAATTCAGATATTAAAATTACTAAAAGTCAGTTAAATATGGTACGAAATTATAAAAATTATAGGCAACATTATTGAAGCAATTATTTTGGGTAGAAACATTCAAGGTGATATTGTACCTATACGGCGAATGCTATATATTAATTCTTTCTGAATATGTTATACCTTCTAAAAGACTTCAATTTCCAATACGTATATCTTATGCTATAAATCACAAAGGCAGACGATTTTTTGTGTGATAAAGGGTATGGGCGTGTTTCCATACAGAATTGGCCCCACCCTGGTATTTAAATAATTTTGATGCCATTTTATAGGTATTTTCGAGAAAATCCGATATACCAAATTTCAAATCCGTAGATCATCATTTGGCCGAGATATCATTGAAAATGTGTGAAAGTGGCCCCTTTTTTCAGAGTCGTTTTTTATCGCAACTGTGAGAGATATCGACTAACCAATAATGCCAATCTGTTCACCTCGGTTTGTACTACATTATTAATAACAAATATTGTTAAATAATTATTTTTTAGTGCATGAAAAAGTGAAAATAATTTTTTGTTTTGAATTTTCTGGTAGTGCGGTTGTTTGGACTAATTTTTAATTAGCATCATTAGAAAGGCTATTTAATTTTCTTTTTTAAATTTTGTATTATTTCATGTGGTAGAACACATTCAAAATTAGAAAAAACCTGAGCAAGTACACGCTCGCGCTCATATAGCACCCGCGTAAGTCGTCTCTCATTCGCAACGACTAGCAACAGCATTGCTCGCCGCGCGTCTTGATAAATTGAAACATTTTTAATAAAACACAAGATATATACATTTATAATTTGAATAATTATATATATATATATATATATATATATATATATATATATATATGTATAATAATAACTATATTTTTATATAATTAAATATATATATTATTTATATATTGCACAAATATATTATATGATTTAGTTAGTCATAAATATATTAAATAATACTTTGAAGTTTTTTTTTAAATTAAATAATATTTAAGAATTTATTGAATAGAATATCTCAACCTATAAATACTCATAATAATTATTGAACTACTGCACTATTATGTATCATCCTTAATTAACACTTTCGACTCGGGAGTCGGACTGCCAGTCGGTACGCTGCGCTCGGAATATTATAGTGCTAGACTTATCTCTCAACTCGGAATTTTTTTTTGTATCGGATTTTTTCAAAATGTGGTTATATTGCTTTTAAATATAGTTATTATGATAATAAAATAGAAAATTTTGAAAATTAAAAAAAAATGCACTCAAAACCATGCTATATTGCTTAAAAAATCATTTCTTCACAGATCTTTATTAGAATTATGGGGATCATGAGCTAATAAATTAATTTTGTTATATATTTATTTATAAAATTAATAAATCAATCGATAAATGAATGTAATAGTAAATTAATTTTTAAAAAATAAAAAAAAATTAAATGTAAGTTTAGTTTGCGATGAGTCGTCGCCGACACGATTTGCCGCCGGAGCGGCGGCATCCGAGCTTAACGGTAAAACATATCATGCCGCCGGAGAGCGAGTCGAAAGGGTTAAAACGATATTTGAAATTTCGCGGCATTATAATTATATATTGTATTGTGGTAATAACTAAATTATATACTAATCAAATTAAATTGACTAAAATATAAGAAAAGTGCAAAATCGACTGGTACAAAGGTGTAGAGAACACAAAAATTAAAATAAAGCATTATTTATTTACTAATTATCAAAAACTTCGTGATTAGTTAAATTCCAAAATTATAATAATTTTATGCTGTCTGTATTTTGTTATCTTATGTGTGGTTTTTGCGGGCAAAATTTCAAATATCGTTTTAATTAAGGATGATACATAATAGTGCAGTAGTTCAATAATTATTATGAGTATTTATAGGTTGAGATATTCTATTCAATATATTCTTATATATTATTTATTTTAAAAAGAAACTTCAAGATATTATTTAATATATTTATGACTAAGTTAGTATACTTGCATTTGTATACATTGCGCTGTAGCATGAATAGTAATCTTATCCCGATTTTTTTATTTATTTAGTGGTATTAATAATTAATATTAATAAATAATAATTAATAATTAATTAATAAGTAATAATTATTTGATAAATTATTAATGATGATAATGATAAATTGATAATGATGATAATGATAAATTATTAATGATGATTAAATCATATAATATATTTGTGCAATATATAAATAATATATATATTTAATTATATAAAAATATAGTTATTATTATACATATACATATAGATATATAATTATTCAAATTATAAATGTATATATCTTGTGTTTTATTAAAAATGTTTCAATTTATCAAGACGCGCGGCGAGCAATGCTGTTGCTAGTCGTTGCGAATGAGAGACGACTTACGCGGGCTATATGAGCGCGACTATATGAGCGCGTACTATATGAGCGCGAGCGTGTACTTGCTCAGGTTTTCTCTAATTTTGAATGTGTTCTACAACATGAAATAATACAAAATTTTGCACACTAAAAGAAAATTAAATAGCCTTTCTAATGATGCTAATTAAAAATTAGTCCAAACAACCGCACTACCAGAAAATTCAAAACAAAAAATTATTTTCACTTTTTCATGCACTAAAAAATAATTATTTAACAATATTTGTTATTAATAATGTAGTACAAACCGAGGTGAACAGATTGGCATTATTGATTTGTCGATATCTCTCACAGTTGCGATAAAAAACGACTCTGAAAAAAGGGACACACATTTTCAATGATATCTCGGCCAAATGATGATCTACGGATTTGAAATTTGGTATATCGGATTTTCTCGAAAATATCTATAAAATGGCATCAAAATTATTTAAATACCAGGGTGGGGCCAATTCTGTATGGAAACACGCCCATACCCTTTGGAAAATCAATGTTTTATTCGTAAATAAACAAAAAATCATTTATTTATACATCCACATCTGCAGGTATGACTAAAATTATTGGATAATCCTTGGCATTAAAATAAATGGAGCTATTGGAAATAATTTTTTTTATCTATCTATTTTTAATACACAATTTTATTGAACATATTTCAATATTTGTTAAAGGGATAATTAAAGTGTAACTGTGGGAATTGAGAATAATAATTTTATTTGAAGCACATCTACATTTATCACTCATATTTGTGCAAATAGTAATTCGAAAAACAACAATTATTATTTTTAACTGAACGGTGTAAATATTAGTATAGGATATTAAAAAAATGTAGGTGTGGGTACAGGACAACGTCCGTCGGGTCATCTAGTATATATTGTTGAGAATTGTGTTCTTTATAATTACAAATAATAGTCATAAGTAAATTCATTTGAACGATGTATAATCCCAAGTAACGGTAAATGTTGCAAATATCTTGTACATCTGCAAGACAACCCTTAATAAAAGTTTATGATAGCTGATGCGCCCTCGATGAGCTATAATGAAACTAGAAATATTGGAAATATTTTAAAAATGTAAAAATATAAAAGTTTGTTAGTCCTGAACTGTTAAACAAGTAGCAACTAAAATATTATAATAAAGCGCTTAATAAATTCTTGTATCTGAATGAATTCTTTGATTTCACACGCTTCCAGAAGAGCTACAAATGTTCCAATTCTCATCGTTAAGTATTCCAAATAAAACTCTAATCTACTCAAGAAGTTATTAAAAATAGGTTACATTTAATCATTAATTAGTAAATTTGTTACTAATGTCTCTTCAATTTATATTATGTATAAATTCTATTAAAATATACTATAATATTATTCTATGACTTGAAATCAAAAATAAATGTGCTTCAAAATAAAATATTATCTGCTGAAAGAAATCATTAATCAAGATAGATACTGTTAAATTAAGTTATTTAGCCTTCAAGCTCATTGAATATAGCCAAGAAAATCATTGCCTTTTAGCAATAAGTATTTAGTGCAAGACTATTTGATGAAAATTGCTATTTATATAAAATTTTATTCTAAAGGAATACATACAATAAAAACTAACAAATTCGCACTTACGAAAGTAGCATTTGGTATAGAAAAATGACGCTAAAGCCAACGTGCTTATGTTTTGAGGTTATATGTTGATGTATTTAGCTAACATTAGCTTTGTAGTAAAATGATCACATAGTTCATTTTTCTTGCAAACTTAACACAACAAAGATAGATTACCATGTTCATAAGGTGAAAATGTTCCAGCATCTATATTTATATAAGGATCAATTTTAATAGATGTCACAGGAATTCCACAGCATTTCAAAATTGTCCCAAATGAGCTAGCTATAACACCTTTCCCAATTCCACTTATTACGCCACCAGTCACTAAAATATATTTCATTTTGATATACAACTCGAATGAAAAAAAAAAAACAATTTCATAAATGTTCACATAAACAATAAACATCAGAAGTATCCGCGATGTAATGAATGAAATCTCAATAAGTGTCCACAGAAAGTTATCACATTTAGATTGAACAGAAAACCCGTGTGAAGTTTGTAGCTTCAAAAGTCAGAAACATTAAAGCCAAGATACAAGAACTCATAGATAAAAGAAGAGATCTCAACGAAATATGCGCTCTCTCGGCCCATATTTCGTTGCCACGTTAACCATAGATAAATAAGCATAAAGTTGACGTTAACTGTCAACTCATGTCAACTTGCCGGGGTTAGTTCGAGCTGCTTTCCATTGGTGCGCGCGCGTCGACCGTAGAACGGGTGCGTACAAAAAATACTATAGAAATGCACCAATATTTTCTAACATTTATTTTTAACAATAATATTTTACACACATGGTTACAAAAGATTCATCCTTATAAGCTAAACACAAAAGAAATAGAAATGTATATATATATATATATATATATATATATATATAAATTGTTTAATATGAACAAAACAGCACTCAGATTTGTTTAACACAACTTTATTTTATGATTACAGACGTTTCGAGACCATGGTGTGTCATAAAATCATAAAATAAAGTTGTGTTAAACAAATCTGAGTGCTGTTTTGTTCATATTAAACAATTAATATTCGTTCCACTCATATCATAAAATTCTATATATATATATATATATATATATATATATATATATATATATATATATACATTAAATATATATATATATATATATATATATATATATTAAATTTTTTTATATAATTTTGATGTTGAAATATGTGATATTCAGTTTTCAGAGCAATACATTAATTAAAAAATTTGTATGACTTTAAAACATTTTTATTTTTTCCATACGTTTCGACACATAGTTTTGTGTCATCTTCAGTGGACTCTATTTTGAAGGCACAGATAAAAATTATTAATTAAAACTAATATATAATAAGTGATATGGTATGAACTTACATGTAATTGTAATAATCCTAATTATTTTCTAATTATAATTGTTCACAATGCACAATGAAACCAATTCTTGTCACTTTAAATTTAACAATAATAAATTTTTTGAATGAGTTATTTTATGAATTTGTAAAATACATCCTGCTCATGGCCGGTAATCACGGAACAAACATCTGTAATCTTATTTTTAGTTCCGTCTCCCTCGATTGGAGCGCTGGTAGCGCTACAAAACAGGCTAAAGAAAATATTCGAGAATCTAATATGGCGGAATAATATTTTAGTGTCAAAGTGTCATATGTTTGTTAAAAGTTTATAACAAATTACATGTCGAAGTGCGGCGTATAACAATGCGGAACACCAACAAATATGCAAAAATGCATGTATTTCCTGCAGAAAATGAAGTAATATGTAAAATGATTAGTAAAATAACTGGAGCCCGGGCTGAGCACTGATGGTGAGAACTAGGTTAATAAGTTTTATCAATATGTACACAACAAAATACTCGCATGTGTTACTAGCACTTCTGATATAATTTTTTATTGTAACTTAATAACTGATTATGAGACATTTAACAGTATCAATGCTAGGAATTTTAAGGTTATAAATACAAGACACCCATCTTACTAAATCCCTTTCTGGAAGGTATGTTATTGAAAAATTATTCTTTTTATTACACTTTTTTGTATTGTTCTAATATAACATTTTATTGTAGCTTTCTTGGACTTTACAGCAGTAGCAAAACTGAGGATGGAAAACCGTCCCTGAAAGGTTTGTTATTTAACATTTTTTATACTACAATTTATGTTTGTAGCAAATGATTCTATATAACGAATGTGTTGAGAAAAGAAGTCAGAAGGATAAATATACAAAAAAAAAACATTGAGGCAGAAGTTACGAGAAAGTCTCAAATGTGCTGAAAATTTTGCTTATCTCCCAGCAACATTAAATAACATTGCTCCTAATTTTATATTAAGTCAACTAAGAGAACATACGAAAAAGCCAAAAGGAAGAAAATTTACACTTAATGATAAAATTCTTGCTTTAACTCTGCATAAAATTTCTCCAAGAGGTTATTACTTTTGGAGAAAAATATTTGTTTTGCCTGCTTGCTCCTCAAACATTGAGAGCAATTCCTTTGTATAGTGGTATTAATGAGACCCTTTTCCAAACATTGGGTTCAGCTATGGCACAGAAAAAATATGTGAATAGCAAAAACTGTATTCTGATGTTTGATTCATTATCATCTGCATTATTTTACGACTGTAAAAAGGATCATATTGTTGGTTTTCAGGAACTGGCAAATGGTAAGGAAAGTTTATTTGCTGATCATGCTCTTTCTTTTTCAAAATTTTTCAAATCAAATAGTTGATACTTGAACTGTGCGTAATGTTCATATTTTTTGTGATTGTTCATGAATGTGTTTTTATTTATAAATTTATAGTAATAAATAATGAAGTTAAATTTTTAGCAAATGTAGAAATTGTAAATAAGTGGCTACTTCATGGAGTATATTTTGCTATATAGCTTATTTCCGTTTATTTTTGGTGATAATACGTTTAACAGATTTCGAGAAGTATATAGATGATATATTGTACAATAATTTACCGGATAACAGCAAAATAGTTTTTAAATGACATCACCATATAGTAATTCATTTTAGTAAGCTGTTGATATGCTTTTCAGATGCAAGTAATTTTGGTTTTATTCTTTAATTAAATTGGCAAATGTGTTTGCATATAACTTTCTTGAACTTTTGCCAGTTACTGTTATGAGAACATAATGATTTCTTTATCTTTGTGATAATGATGATAATGATATTTTGTTCAACTTTAAAAGCAGATTAACGCATTGTGCAGAAAAGGTTTTCAGATAGGGACTATAAATAGATTCAATGTAACTTAATCATTATTTGATTGAGCATCAGGATGTATATAAACGGAGTTAATTTACAAGAATATCTTAGGCATAAATTTTATTCTTTATTTTTGAATATGTTCCTCTTTTTTGATTGTAATATAAGTTTATGATCTTTTTGAATTGTTGTTGCTGGGCTTTTAAGTTAACTTTTGAGTGCATGAAGAGAATTCTAGTAACTTCATTCTCTTGTTTGGTATTTATTATTTGGATCAATTCTCGATACTTTAGTTATATGGTATAGATAATGTCCAAATTATATTTAATTTTTTTAGAAATCTAGAAAAAAATATATATAATTTAGATAGTTTTTTGACATGAAAACACACACACACACACATGATAGGAGTCTGTGCCCTAGGGCAGGTCTGTGAGCTAAAACTCGACCTCAAATCAGGGAAGAATAGTGTGTGATATGTAAATGCCATTTCATTTTGCAGTGCTGCAATTGGGCTATTTTTGAATACAAGAAAGCGAGGCTTGGACTCACACCTCCCTGTCCACACAAGACATTGAACAACCATATGTATATATATATATATATATATATATATATATATATATATATATATATATGCACATACACAGTGGATAATATATACATTTATGTACGTTTCTATGTTATTTGTGCATCATCATACATTTACGTGCAATTATATATATATATATATATATATATATATATATATATATATATATATATATAACAAATGTATTCTTAGTGGATAATAGATATTAATTTGGAAATATGAACAAACAACACTCTTCTTGCACTAATTTATTAAATAATAATTTTCACAAACGTTTCGAAACTAGGTTTGTCTCATCATCAGTGTGTTATAATCAAAAAAATGTTAAAATATGGAAATCTAAATTAGCATTTTGTGTTTTTCATTACAAGTCGTTCACTGCACACAGCTCTTTTAATACCATCGGTCTTCGGTGTTCGTATTCTCTCCCACTTGGAACAAATGGCTCATTAATAAAACAGAGACAATTATACCAGATAACATAAAATATATTCTAGCCTTAGGAACAAAATTTGCCATTCATAAAAAACATTTAAAATACAATGACATAATAAAAATCATAAGCAGTCTGGAAGCAGGACTTAAATTGATTAAGAATCCAACGGAAAAGGATATAAATTTCATCAGAGTCACTTTCATACAAAAATTATTGAACATTTTGAAGAATAATAAACAAAACATTAATTCAATAAATAACTTAGCATACATTCATCGGGACATAAAAGCTGCAAAAACCTTCCTAAAAGAGAATAGCCAATTAATTTTATGCAAAGCTGATAAAGGAAATATTTCAGTAATTCTGTTAAGGGATAATTATGAAAATGAAGCAATGAACATCCTAGAAGATAAAACAATGTATGAAGAGTTACCGAGTGATCCGAACAATTACCACCATAAACAAGCTTTTAAATACATCAATCTTTTGGAAAAAAAAGGTCACATCAACAATTCTATTGCCCTAAAATTAAAAATCCAACACCCTCTAGTACCTAAATTCTATTGCCTTCCCAAAATCCATAAACCTAACTGGCCTTTCAGACCTATAGTTTCATACATTGATTCACCTTATTATAATTTATCTAAATTCTTTTCCAAAATTTTAAAAAATGTTACGGTTAATTCGCCATATTTTTTGAACAATTCATACAGTTTAGTAGATCGCGTAAATGACTTCAAGATCCCTCATAATTTTTCCTTCGTTAGTTTTGATGTTATTAATCTTTTCAGCAACATTCCACATAAATTAGTTTTCACCGCCATTAGGAGTAGATGGTTGCAAATTGTTGAATACACTTCACTACCTCTCGAAACATTCATTTCTGGAATAGATTTACTACTGAAGGCCTCATATTTCCAATTCAATAATAAATTTTATACTATGATTAGAGGATGTCCTATGGGAAGTCCTCTAAGTCCCGTTTTAGCAGACTTAGTGCTACAAGATTTAGAGAACAGTGTGTGGAATTCTACAATTTGCAAACCACTACTATATTTTCGATATGTCGATGACACGCTTTTATTAATTAACAAAAATGATATAGAGAACATATTTCAAAAATTTAATAATTATAATTCTCATTTACAATTTACACAAGAATTAGAAAAAGATAACTCTATACATTTTCTTGATGTTCAGCTCATTA